GAGGCATTAGGATGGTGAGTAGGGTACTATTCCATTTTCTTACTCTGACATTCCACAGGGAAAATATTGGCCACATTTAGTAGAATGTTTATTTTGTTAGACATTTTTTTTGAGATGAGAGAGACTATACCTCTAGATGAAAAATATTATCTAATCAGTATGAGAAACTTTCAACATCAACAGTTACAACATTAACATTCTAAGTGTGGTTATTTATTCTATTTCTATTCCATGTCTATTGACTGTTCAAAATCTATCCAATATTCATAATCCTTTCACCAATGCTGATGGCTTTTCTCTTTTTATCAGGTATTTATCTGATCATGGTTATAATTTGGCAACGGATTCGGGTAGTATGATAGACACACAGAAGATAGTAAAACGACTGTTAGATGTATGTATCGATTCTTTGAACCTCTCTCTCTGTGGTATTGATTATTTGGGACATATGAATGAACCAAAAAAAAAATGAATTATTTATAGCTTGACTTGAGAGAAATTGGGAGTGGAAATGGAGATATTAATCAGGGCAATATTGTGTTGCAAATACAAAAGATACGTAATGTAGCTGCGCCCAAAGGGAATGAAGAATCAAGAGCAGCTCCAAGAATGTTAAAATTATCGTTGACAGATGGAAAAAATAATTTTCAAGCCTTAGAAGTTGAACATATATCGACTTTGAGGTAAATGTATTAGATTGAGTTCTTTTATAGCAAATTGGTTACTATTATGCTAGATTAGTTTATACTAGGCTGCTATGTATGAAATTAACAAAGTTAAGTATAAAAATATATAAGTATATGTATTTTGAACAATTAATTATTTAATAATAATATTGCCACATTATTTAACAGAATATACAAGTATTATTTCATTGTTAAAGTTGATTATATTATGTCAGTGCATTTATATACTTTATATAAAGCCATCTTTAACATGTACTAATTCAGTATAGTGCTAGTAGTTGAATATTGCTCTCTAATGTCGTTTTCTTGCAACTGTTTCTTTTAATCATCTCTTTTGGGATAGCTTAAACACACCACCTGGTACAAAGATACTGATAAAGACAGGAACCTTACCTGTATCACATGGACTTCTTTTGTTGAGACCATCGCATTTAGTTTATGTACTTGGGGGGAAAGTTGCTAATTTAGTGGAAAAATGGGAATTAAATAAGGTAATTTGCATTTTACTTAATAAGAGACATTAATATTTATTATAATGATTGTTAATTCTATTTAATGAATATCGCATGAGTACAGGATTGCTTTTGTTATAGAAATTAGCTTCGCATACTCGAGTAAGATCTGCTGAAGAAGGTGGACCACCACCGTGGATACCATTTGGTAAAAAAATCGTAAAATTATCGGAGCAAGATAAGAACTTTAAAGCTCTAGCAGAAAAAGAAAAACCTAGTAAAGAGAATACTGAATTTGAAACTCAGCGCAAAGATGCGATAGCAGAAGCTGCCAAGCAAGGCAGTAAGAAAGTATTTGGTGGCGGAAATAAACAGGTTTAACTTGTTTTTTTACATTTTTTAATTAAATTAAATGTTTGTATTCTTGTCTAGATATCTAATTTATGTGCGCTTTCAGTTATTGGATCATAGCGTACAGAAAATCGTGGATCGTGGATTTACTATAGAACAAGCAGAATACGCTTTGAGAATTAATAGAAATAACATAGATAAAGCTTTAAGAAGTTTGCAAAGAACCGACACTAAACATAAGTGAGAAAATTTATTTTTATTTTTCCTATTTTTTTTCACTCAAATTATATATTCAATTATTATCTAATTACAATCTTATTATAGTAGTGCCAAAGAATCTCGAGAACCACGAGAGCCACGTGGTAAACGGGAGAAAAAAGCCGAAGAGAGTAAACCTAGCAGTGGAAAAATATCTCTATTCGACTTTCTCGAAGATAAATTACCTGTGCAACCCGAAAGTGTCGAAACAACTAATTTGTCACAAAGTAATTACATGCAAAATAATGAAAGTAATCAGGATCGTTTTGAATCGAGAAGTACTGAAGCACAAAGTGGAAGAGGTGGACGGTACATAACTATCTTATTAAACGAATTTCTATAATATTTAATGAAATATTGTACTTCTAATATTGATCTTTTTTAACAGGAATCAAAGAGGTAATCGCGGTTATCAACCACCTCCGAGATATTCAGAGGAACATAGAAATAGCAAGAAGACAAATAATAGTAACTCCACCATGTATTCGCAATATAACGGTGCTAGTCACGCACCGCAGAACAAACCACCACGGTTTCAACGTAATCAGGAACCCCAGTATCAGTATCAACACGATGGAGGTAGAGAAGCGTATCAGAAGTCTAATCAGCCGAATGATTACAAAAATACGTTTGCTCATTCGCACACAAGTAACACAAACGTCGATAGTGGTAACGATAACTATAACAGAATCCAGGCTGAGTTACAGGGAAAGAATCTCGGTAGTAACAGAAACTATAATCACCTCGAGCCCGAGGCCAAAAATAGGCATTCTTATGATGCTTCTTATAATAGGCATAATCGAGCTCAACAAAATGGAACCCCTAAAGTATATTCAACTAATACAACTGAACAGAATTTTAAAAGTCAGCCTAGATATCAGTCAAATAGTAACGCTGGAAATAAGATGTCCATGAATCCTAATGTGCAAAGAAACGAAAACAATTATGGTAACCCTAACATCACCAGTACATGGGTATGGCAAGTAGGTGACAAGTGTATGGCTAAATATTGGGAAGATAATAGGGTACGTATTATAGATTTTATTTTTTTTTAAATTTTTTTTACATTAAAATGTGTGTTTCCAAAATACTTAGGCCATTTATCTTTTATACTTTTTCAATCTCATATAAAAATTAGAATTTACATAGGATGACGGTCGAGCATCTGTTAACTATAAGTCGATCACCATATGTCGTTTCATCTTTTTCGTGTACTTTGCGTATAATTTAAACGTTTTTGTACGATATTTATAGTATTATAATGCCGAAGTCACTGGTGTTTCGGAGAGAACTTGTGTAGTGCAATTTAAGGGATTTGAAAATTATGAGGAAGTACTCCAGGTGGATTGTATACCAATAACAGATGATGTACGTAAAATAGCACAACGTAAAATTTACAATGATTGCTAATAATATTTCTTGTTACAATGATTGTGATAATTTTAGATTCAAGATCGTATTCCGGAACCGAGACGACAAGATCAGCGATCTAACAATCGACAACTACGTTACGATCAAAGTCACAATCACATAAATGGTGAGTAACAAAATCGTTCATCTCTAGATATTAAATTTTGTATTATTTATATACAATCTTTTATACGTTTATACATGAAATATTGAAGTCGACGAAATTTAATTAAAAATGATGATTGCAGCAGGTATGGAATTTCGACGAGGCGGAAGTGGTGCCATTGGCGGAAATAAAGGATATAATAAGAAACGGAATCAGCAACGGAGTACGCAACCAATTTATCAACCACCAGCGCAAAGAGGCCACAATTCTCTGCCAATTAATAATCAAAATAATACTCAACATAATTCTTTTCTTTAATGTAACTCTAGTCTCGCATCTTTAGTAAAAAAAAAAGTAAATTCAGATCTTGCTAAGTATTGGCAATGCATTCGCTACTGAGGATTGATCTAACAGGTTGCCACACTAAAAGTTTAGATACCATTTATATTAACCGTTGCTAGGCGGCGAGCTGAGTGCCACATTTGAGTTCTATTAAAACTGAATTGAATACGCGATAACTTAATACGAAGCAAGTTGGTTTTTCACAAAAAGGGGAAATTAGGAGGCTCTTACTGTAAAATATCGACTGTGTTCTCGAAATATTATATTATTTGTATTGTAGGGCTTACTACTGCAAAACAGGGCAATGTCTGTACCTCGTCCACTTTAGCTGTAATACAGTTGTAATGAAATCTCGCTCATTTCATTTTTCCGTACCTACAATCATCGAGAAAGAGAGAAAAAGAATATTTCGAAAAAGTAACAAGCTAAATTAATTTTGTATTTCTGAGTATTAATTGGAATCGATAAATTAAACTGAAATAACTTGTTTTAAATTAATATTAAGTTCGATATTAAATCTTATTTAAAATAAATTGTTAATATAAATTTTGAAAATTATGTTTCCAAATTTAAATACCTAGTCTAATATTAATGAATATAATTTTGCAAAATTATCCAAAACTGAAATTTTCTTTGTATATTTACATATTTTAATAGTCACATAAAATATATTTAAAATTTTTAATTTAGGGATTTTTACCAATTAATAACAAATATTGTTTTAGGCTACGCGGGGGTTGGTTAAAGTAAAGGTGCCTTTTCATGCCAATGCTCGACACTAATTTTCGGCGTCAAAATAAGTCACATGATCAAAATTTATGGTATTCGTTAATTTTGATCACGTGACCTGTTTTTAACGCTCAAATCGAGCATCAGCTGAAAATACAATTTTAGATCAATATTACATGCATCTGTTTTTAGTCGTACGACAAATTTTTCAAGCCTTTTGATTGGCAAAGAGGTCCGAGATTCTCTCTATCTTGTAGCCAATTAATACATTTGAAAAATTCGTCATACGACAAAAAATGAATGCACGTAATATTGATCTAAAGCTAATAGAGAGCAAAAATTACAAATAGGTCCGATTTATCCCATTCTCTCCGATTATAAAACTACTTATATTGATAGAAGATACTTTTTAGTTTGTACTTTTTACTTTGTTTTCAAAATTTTATTTTTATCTTTTATTTAAGAAATATTATTGTTTAAAAACAAAATGATATGTTGGTATCGACGACTTTCCTCTACTATCAAAGATTGTATTAAATTAAATTTGTATTTTGATGCAAAATAATTAACACAATAAAATAAAAAAGTTAAAAATATAAATATAAACGTAGAATAACAAATGTCTAAATACTTACTCGCAAAAACGAGCCACCATAATTTATAATTCGTTTTTTTTTTGTGTTGATGAGTATATTTACGAAGAATGATGAAGGACTTCTAAAATTTAAGTACACATTTTAGTCTCTCGAGCTGTCACTTTAAAATTATCGCAGTACAAATGTTTAAATGGTCATATTTGTAATCTGCGCAGAACCGTACGAGATTTGTCTCGGGAACGATCGTGCAAATATGTATACTTCTACCGTGAGCGCCGTGAGCACCCCTATCTTGCTTTCTTCATGAACCATGGCAGAGAGCAACAGAGCCCTAATCAAAAATACAATCTGAAAACTAAAAGAATCATATATCTACGAATAATATAAGAATTGAGTTTTGTATGTATTAATAATTTCACAGTACAACGTCTGATTAACAATGCAGCTTGGATTGTCTCTATTAATCATTCATATAAATAAAATACCATACAGAGGGTAAGTACTTTTCTTTCATGAGAATTAATATTCATTTAACGAATTAGGAATCGTTTAATTTTTCATAACGTACAATATTACTTTGTATCGTTACGTGGAATACTTGTAATTCTGTAAATCTTTGCTTCATGCAGGAAATATCGTAGAGTAAAAAAACCGTCTATGCATGATTTACTTAAGATGAAGAAAGATTTCGAGAGACAAGAGCAAAACATGTTGATTCTGCGGCACCCCTATCTCACAGTTGAACTAAATCATGGTCACATGAAAGACATGTATCTCAAAAGCAGAAACAAAACTTTCTTCAGAAGATATGAACAGAAAATCGTCAGAAGTTCCAGAAAGAAATTACTATCGCCGATCGTCTATGCCACATGAGAAGCGTGGGATTGAAATCTTTTTACAGATAGCCGAGTATATTACAGGAAGAGTAAAAGTATAGAGTAGAGGAAAGATAGCGTAGTGAAATATGTTATATAAGTTTATCTAATAAGATTGTCGTATATTGCGAATTACAAGGTAAAAATTGAAACAAATACTGTAACATTATTTTAAAGCATTAAATTATATTGTTCATGTTAAACAATACAAACTTAAGCATTGACTAAAAAGCTTTCTTGAAACCGAGTTGATAGATTTTTTGGTTTATTTCTCATCCAACCAAACGGATCTGTATTAATTTCTTCTTCTGTTAAGATCTTTCCCTCATAAAGTAAATTTGCAAAATCTGCCACAACTGGATCGGCATTAACACTGCTAATTCCTATTACTTTGCCACCTTTAAGATTATAAGCGAAGAATTCCAGTTTATCCAGTGAGCCATAAATCTTTATACTAATAGGTTTTCCGTAGCCTGAAAATAAATGGATAAAGATTGATTAATTGTTAATTTTTTACAAAACTTATTACAATTTCAAAATATGTGTGTAGAAACATGTTATATACAGGGTTGGCCATATTCGACGGAAAGATGTTTTTTTTTTTTCAATCATGGGAAACTCGGCGTTACTCGCTACAACATCTCTTTTCCCATGATTGAAAAAAAAAAACACCTTTCCGTCGAATATGGCCAACTCTATATATGTAAATTTACCTGCATAGCTGTAACTTCTACGCAGTAAAGTCGTCCAGAAGAACGGTACAGACTTCAAGGAAGTTTCTTTACAGCATATATTTAAAGCCGCAATTTTTCCATGATAATGAGCTAGAGCATAATGACCTATCGCAGCGAACGTGTCGTCAGATCCATATATCGGTGCGTAAGCTATGTCACCTCCAGCATATATATTTTCCACATTTGTCCTTAAATGCTATAATTTAATTGATATTCAATTATATGAAGTATATACTAAAAAAATACTGTTTTCGAATGTTACCTTATTTACTGGAATAGAGCCATCGTCCCTCATTGTGACAGAAGATTTTTTCATCCATTCAGTGTAAAAAGTGGATCCTATTCCAACGATAACTATATCTGCTGGTAGAATCTGGCCGTCTGTAAGTTCGACCTTAGCCAAAACATTCTCTTCACCTTTCTTAGGAATAAATTGCTTAATATTATTTTTGAAGATAAACTTCACACCTGAAAATTTATTATTTATTACTATTATCTAATCAACACTAATGTAGACCAATGCGAAATGTATGTTATGTATAACATAATACCTTTTGCCTCATGCTCTTTTTTAATTCTATTACCAATAACCGCGCCGAATATCTCTCTGAAGGGTACAGTATCCCATCCTATTACTGTGACAGACGCGCATTTATCGATACAATAAGCCGCGCTTTCCATGCCAATAAAGCCTAATCCTAGAACAACTACATGTTTCTTGGGGGATAGAAGTGCTTGTACGCCTTGTGAATCTGTGTAATCTCGCAGAACAAAAATATTTGATAAATTTGCTCCAGGCACATTTAACATTCTCGGTTTACTGCCTGTGCAAATAAATAAATAATCATACACGAAATTCTCGTTATTACTCAGCTTGACAGTATTTTCAGTCGTATCTAAACCTATAACAGAATAAAAAAAATGTAGTGCAGAATACGAAGTAACATTTATACATATAGATATTACAGATATATATTGAGATCGGTGTTTGGCTTTCGTATGTACCTATTGCTTTTACTCTCAGTTTCGTTTCAATATTATGTTTCTTATAAAACGAGGGCGATCGTAATGTCGCAGAATGAACATCGAAATTTAATTTCTTGGATACCTTTACCCGATCATAAGGTATTACGTTCTCTCTGCATATCATAATGATGCGTCCTGTAAAACCCTCCTGTCGCAAACTCTCTGCACAGGTAGCACCCGATGGTCCACCACCAACTATTATGACAGTCTTTGTATTTTCAGGATCACGTGCAGACATATCCTTCACACGTATGTCACTATTCAGCTCTGTACTTTTGGCTCTTACGTGGACAAGACCAGTCTTGCCTACGCAAACCTATTAAAGCAATACATAGAGATAGCATGTTAAACAAATATGGGATAAGAATAAGAACAAAATCTTGATATGTTTATAAATTACTCGAGTACCTCATAGCATGGTAAAGAATTCAAGCCTGGATAATCTACAATATCCCCAGTTTTAATATCGAAGCATGCACCGTGCGCTGGACATCTCACTCGTCCTTCCCCTAACGCGCCGATATGTAGCGGGACACCGTAATGCGTGCATTTGGTACCAATCGCGTGCAATTCTCCATTCTGTTTAATCAACAAAATATTCTTTCCATTCTTTCCCAACGGTAGCATTTTCATCTCATTTTCGTTGATATCTTCCTCTTTGCACACCACACCCTCAATGTAAGTATCATGCTCTTTTGAGATATCTAAGAAAAAGTAAATAAAAAATAATTTATAATTTAACTATTTATAATAATTATATGTGGCTTATTATAAACGCATATTATTGGAGAACAAATTTTGAGGGAATTAGAGTAAACTGTAATTATGAATCATAATATAATTCTAATCCTATATTAGTATGTGGATATAAACATAGACAAACATAAAAGCGAACATGTGATATTTTTTAATAACTGTATATGTAATCAACCTAATGCACACAATAGAGTTTCATTCAATTTCTCCTCTATAACAATAAATAATAGAATACTCATTACATATGACAAACTAATTTACGAGCTTGGACGTATTCAGGTTCCCAATGTTTCCATCTGAGTATTTCTTAAGTATCATTTTCCTTGTTTAACATTCCATGAAAAAAAATAAAATGATACCTGGATGGCATTCGAATGGGACTTTGAATAGTCCTTTGAAATTTGAATGGCATGCGATATCTCCTATCAATTGCATTGCCAAATGCCAAATATTTCCGACGCAAAAATTTTCGTAAGAATTACAATAAATATATAACTTGGGTCGATTATGTAACGTAGCATATGAATATAAGGAAATCTTGGAGGAAAAATAAAATCTCTGTTGTTATTATCTCGTACGTGAATTGGGAGTCGTACTCTCCGATAGATTATCAGTGATTTAATGAATGACGATTATCGGCGATAACATTCCCAGAAAGAGAGAGAGAGAGAGAGAGAGAGAGAGAGAGAGAGAGAGAGAGGTGGAGAGAGAAAAAGAGAGAG